TCATGTGGGCACAGGGCAGCAGACAGCACCTGACATAAACTAAGATTAAAAATCACTTTCTTCTCTGGTCACATGGCCATACATCGTGTAACCTTTACTCAAACAGCACTAAAGAGAATATTGAAACAAAAGATGGAAGAATTCTTCCTGGTTGCTTGCACTGAGCTGGGAATTATACAGCTTTTTAGATCAAGGGTTCTATAAATAGTAGATCAACCCCCTTATGATGTAGGCAACAGATATTTTTATAGGTTTTAGACTTATCATTATTATGGTATTTACCTGACTGATATCAATTTCCTTCTCCTTGGTAAGTTGATATTTTTATCATAGAAGTGGTGGGGATGATGATTAATAATAACACCACTACCAACAGCCACAACAAGAACAACATTAATAACAACAGCCACAACAACAATAATAATAATAATAATAATAACAACAACAACAATAATAATGATACTAACAACAACAATAATAATAATACTAATAACAACAACAACAACAATAATAATAATAATAACAACAGCAACAACAATAATAATACTAATAATAATAACAACAACAACAACAATAATAATAATAATAACAACAATAATAATACAATAATAATAACAACAGCAACAACAATAATAATAATAAAATAAATAACAGCAACAACAACAATAATAATAATATAAATAACAGCAACAACAATAATACTAATAACAACAGCAACAACAATAATAATAATAATAAAATAACCAACACAAATAATAATAATAACAATAATAATAATAATAACAGCACCAACAACAATAATAATAATACTAATTATAACAGCGCCAACAATAATAATACTAATACTAACAATAACAATATTATTACTAATAACAGCAACAATAATAATAATAATGATAATAATATTACTACTACTACTAACAAGAGCAACAATAATACTACTACTAATAATAATAACAATAGCAGCAGCAGTAACAATAATAATAATAATAATAATGAGAAGAAGAAGAAGAACACCTTCTCATGATGACAGAATTGACATGTGGAGGTAAATCCAAAATTGCTTACTCTTGGGTCCCTAATACAAGGTGGAGCCTTAATAAACATGGGGATTGGGGGTCAGAATTATGCAGTAAACAAAGGGGGTCTCTTAATAAGAGTGGAAAATCATTAAGTTTATCAAAGAATAGAATGTGGTAATTCTGGAAATAAGAAAGAAAACTGAAACACTATTTTTCTAAACAATGCAATCATAAAAACATGAGTAAAAAAATTTGAACCATCTGTAATTCTTCCTGTTAAATGCCCTCCCCCACTTCTATTTTGCACCTAAGTGTAAACTCCCTTGGCTCTTTCTTTTTAGAACACCTTAAGCAGAAAGGCTTATTCTTTAAGTGTAATAGGGAGGTGTTGCCTGTCCCCCATGCTCACTTATCCTTATTATTACTCTGGCTATGGATGACCAAAGTTTTGGTAGAGCTACAGTCTGACAAAAAGAAATTCCTTGTTGATTTGGCTTCACATTAGTTTTCTAGTTAGTAAAATGTAAATATTATTTTGCTTTGATATAATTTCCAATTTATAGTTACCATTTTATAAATTTTGTTAGATTTGTCAGCCTGGAAAAAAGGAGGAAGGTAGAGATGCTCGTTTGTTATTGTAACAATGCTACACAAAATTCTTTTCCGTTGACTAAACTTACTGTAGGCTTTCAACAGTTATAATAGTTCTTTTAGTATTTTTTGTTATAATAAGTTAGATTTTCTTCTAAACATTCTAATTGATTCCAGTCCTATTTTTCAGATTTCAAAATGTCTCAAAAAATTCTTCTTTAAAATATTATTAAGAATATAACATTAATTTATAAATAAATAGATAAATAAATCATACTTTTCAGCCTTTGTAAAATCCCCTAAAAGTGAAGATACTTTAAAATACAAATGCATACATCTATTTAATTCTTGTGTTTTAATATTATGGGCGTTTTGAGTTGAAGAATTTGTAACATTCAAGATGGTTTTTATTTGTAAAAATTGACTTTGCATTACCAAACCTGGAAAGAGAGTACATAAGACGTAAGAGCTTAAATTGAAACAATGTGTCAATAGGACATTTCACTTCTAGAAATTTATCAATGTTATTTTAATTTACAAGTATTTATAAAAATATTGTTTATTTTAAAATTAGATTTTTCAAACTACTTTTGTCAAGAAACAATCCAATTTGGCACAAATTTTCTAGAGCCTGATGACAAATAAGTATTTATTTTATGATGTTAATATTTGTTTCAACATGATCTCTCTTTTTTTTTTTATTCAGTGTTCAATATTATCATGTAGATTTAATATTATACAATGAAAATTTCAGATCAAAATTCAGCTAATAATGCTGACTTATTGACACACCTGCATGTGTTGTATTTCTGATATTCTTTTTTCCCCATGCCACACAATAAAGGCATGACCTCTTTTTCTCCCTATCTATTCTAAGTATATCTCTTTTCTTAGCAGTTTCTTCAAATCTATCTCTTAACAGTTTTTCAAGTATATCTCTTAGGAATTTTTATGTATGTCATACAAGTTTTCTTCCAATATGTCTTAGTGTATATATATGTATATTTTTGCATTTTTTTTGTTTTTTTTTTCAAAATGTAACTTTTTTGCATATTTTTTCAAAATGTACCATTTTAGCATTTTTTTCCAAATGTATTTCTTAGCAGTTTTTTAACTCTTAGCAGTGTCTTTTTGAATGTATTCTTAGCAGTTTTTTCTTTTCAATTTTACTTCTTAGCAGTTTTTTCTTCTTAGCAGTTTTTCTTTTCAATTTTACTTCTTAGCAGTTTTTTCTTTTCAATTTTACTTCTTAGCAGTTTTTTCTTTTCAATTTTACTTCTTAGCAGTTTTTTCTTTTCAATTTTACTTCTTAGCAGTTTTTTCTTTTCAATTTTACTTCTTAGCAGTTTTTTCCAATTGTACCTCTTAGCAGTTTTTTTCCAATTGTACCTCTTAGCAGTTTTTTTCCAATTGTACCTCTTAGCAGTTTTTTCCAATTGTACCTCTTAGCAGTTGTTTTGTGTATATCTCTTAGTGAGTTTCTCTCAAATATATATCTTTTGTAAGAGTTTTTTAACATTACTGTACTATATCCTCTTTACATTTCAAGTGTACATTTTTTAATTTCACTAAACAATAGAAATATTTTTGTTTGTATATTTTTAATATTAGTTTCCTTAATTTAATAAAGTAGTAAAAATTGTAAAAGAAAATCTAATGGAAAAAAATTCCATGAAAAATCTGTAGTTATGTAATTATATAACAGTCTAATTTAATTCATCAATTTCTTCATAATGTCATTTATTGGGCTTCTGTGTTTGTATAGAACACAGACACTGAAAATAGATAAATTGCATTATCCTTATAAAACATAAAATAATTTTGCATTGCCAAAGATTTACTCTGTAATAAGAATTTATTTGCATTTTGCTTAACATTCATTTACTTTTATGCATCACCATATTTGATCCCCTATTTAAAAAAAATGCTTTCTTTGGATAAACTCTCTAATAAAAATGTTCTCCTTGGAAAGAAAAATGAGGTCATTTAATTATATTTGTATCTTTATATTATAAAATGAATTATTATGTAATGAATTTTGCTTCCCAGAGAAAAAAGGGATCAGACAATTATTATCTTAATTCTTTAGACAATGTATTATTATTGTTATACAGTCATTCTTTTTTATCAAGTTTGTCATCTTTTATTGTTTTTATCATGCTTCAAGCACCATATTCCCATCATTCACTCAGACAACTTCAAACTTCTGCATGGATGCTTTTCTTAACCTCTTCAAACCAAGAGTCACTTGTGATGTTTCCTCTTTATCATCACTTTTTACAACCTCCTCTTTCACTCGCATCATACACTTTATTCACCATAACAATTTTCAAAGTAACCCTCTATCTTGAGTATTGGATAAAATTTAGCATAAACCTCCCCAACCCCCCAAAACTACTGATGGTACTAAATATTATGATAATGACAACAAAGCAAATAAACTGGACCCCAAAATATAAAGAAATCTTACATGCTTTCATCCTGTTACCCATTACAGGATTGTTTGGGGTACCCTATAAACTGCAGCAGCAATGAGTGTGTTTCAGGCCTGATAGCCTAATGTTGTTCATTCATCTTCAGGATGATCTTGAATTCAGAGTTGTTCTACGAAGGCTAATGAGCTTATTTTACCCTACTATTACATCCATAACTTGAGGGAAGAGAAATGGATCCATGCCCTTTCCAAGGTCATTAGTGCAATGTGAACATTGACATTCGACAGAATTTGAAATCACCTTTCATTTTTCACACCAATGACTAGGAAGTTTTTTTTTCTTTATACTGATGTTGACCCAATACAAGGCCCATGAGCCACTCAAGGTAGTGTTACTGAATGAGGAAGTAGGAAGTGAAGATAATGAGGATATGATGGATAGATAACGATTGACCCCTTCCTGTTCAAGGAAGAATCTGTGCAAGAGTCTGTTCCACAAAGCACTTCTTTGGCAAAAGTTGTCTTAGTGTAACATCCTTTTTACTAATGAAATAGGCAGGCAATGAGGCTGATTCAGTTTATTACTGTAGAAAATAGTTAATAACTAAATCCTACTCACCATTAAATATATTCTTTTTACTAATTCAAGAAAATAAGCCATTTTAAAATTTCTCCATACTATCACACACACACACACACACACAAAGTTTTATATATAAAATAATTTTTTTCACAATATAGAATTGATTGTAATTCATAACCATTGTCTGTTAAAAGTGAAGATATCCAATTTATTGAATATTATCACCATTTAATTATCACTTGTTTCTCTTTTGCAGTTACTTGTTCAGAATGGCTCACCACTTTTCATTGAGAATGTTGATCAGTTGACCCCCTGTGACATTGCCGAAAAGCATGGGCACGGAGATATTGCTCTGTTTTTAGAGTCAAAGATGGTGTTTTCTGTAAGTGTTACTATTTTCTCTGAAATATTCCTGTAATTGCATCGTTGCTACTACATTATTCTTAAAAGAAACCTGTTGCTAATAACGTTGTTATATTGATGCCTCCAATTATTATAGCTAAATAATTGTATGCAAAATTTTATTGAATAAATTTATGCTCATCAATTCTTCTTTGAATTAAAACCTGTAAAAATTTGCCTTTTAGTAACCTAAACAAAGTCTTATGATACACAAAAATTTCTTTAAAAACAAAGAAAAAAAAGCTGAACTGCTATGTAATATCAATATTTATATGTGACAGTGAATGCTGGACAATTGCTCATTGATGAAGAGGAGACATGAAGCAACAAAGATGTAGTTTAACAGAGGGTTTTGAGAGTACCATAAACAAAAGATTGGAACAATGAAGACATTTTAAGAGAAATAGGAAAAAAAAGCATCAGAAAGAGGGAGTTGAAATTTCTGGGATGCATAATGAAGAAAGAGGGTTTGGGGAATTTGAAACTTACAAGGCATATTGAAGGGAGAGTGGCAGAAGGAAACAATGAGTAACCTATCTAATGAGCTTCTGTAAATGGATATCAGAACAAAGTTTGGATGGTAAAATGACAAATGTTACTAAGTGCTCCAAAGGATACAACATTGTGGGAAGCCATGATAATAAGGATTTATGAGATGAATGTACAATATTTATATTTGGATTATTGTCTTCATCTTTGTTGTTATTATAACAACATTTTATCTGTTATGGCTTCCAGTCTTCTTCAGGGCTCTGTCAATCCAAGTAACTTTCAGGGAATTTCAAACTGAACCCTTTATTTAATCTACAGTGTTAGATTGTTCTTGTTCTGCTGTCAATATCTAGGGATATCTCATCTTTTTCTTTTTTAATACTGTTCAATTTTTGCTCACCTGAGTCTGTACTACCCAGCCAAGGGATTGAACTCACAATTATTATGTCCCCAAATTCCCAAATCAACACTTTAATCCACTAGACTATTGTTTTGTAGGACAATCCTGAATCTAGAAGTTGGAGCCTTAATCTGAATATTCTTCTGCTGTTGACTGCATTCACTATAGGTTCTCTTTCTTCCTGCTGAATGTACTTCAAATAATCTGTTCATAAAAGCATTTTCCATTTGAATATTTACCAATTATGAAATTAATTCCCAATTTTTCTTTGTTTTAGAATGAAGGTCCTCAAGAGGAAAATGAAGAGCCAGTTGTTCCTGTCAGTGATTCAGAGGTTAGTATAAATAAGTTTTATTTGTCATTTGTTTTTATTTGTTTAATTTCAGACTAGCTCTTTTTCATTTTCTTATTCATATGAGAGGGTGCTGAAAAGTTTTTGGTACAACTAATAAGTCTTTCAAGAAAAAAATACTGATGTTTCATCATTTAGTTGGATTTTCAGAAGTAAGCCAAACCGAGAACTTTTCCATCCTGGGTATGATGATAAACTATGTTCAACAGCAAGGCCGCTGATCAGGAGGTTTTGAGGAGTGTGGAACCACCTCTTACTTGCTGGTGTTTCCAGGTCCACCCTGACCCAGAGTGGTAGTACCTGTTAGGGTCCCAGCTATGGGCAAATAGTTAACCCCTAAACTGGGGTCAAAACACTATGAAAGTGTAAAAATAGGTTTTAATACCAGAAATACTTTTTTTGTAAAAAATTATTACCAGTAATACATTATTACCAGCAATACATTTTTTTTTAAAAAAATATTACCATCAATACATTTTTGAAAAAAAAATATTACCAGCAATAAAATATTTTGTCGGCATTAAATAACCCATTGAGGTTGATATACCATAAAACAAAACAAACAAAATCAAGAACTTTTCAGAAACCCTTCATATATGCAGTTATTGATTTAATTATATAGCCTGATGAGTAAAAAAAAAATACATTTGATTTGTAATATTTATTTTTCAGCATAATTTCCATCTATATCAATGCACTTAATTCAGTGCTTCCCTTTTAATTATATATGTTGAATATTATATATTGAAACTTTCAGATCAAAAATTAGCTAATAACTATAAGGCTATAGATTTCTTAATCTACTTGAAAAACTTTAATTGAATCAGTAATCATTTGAAGTATTTTGAATAAATATTTAAAAATAAATGATAAATTTCTAAATTAATTTAAAATGCATGTTCTCTGATATATGATTGGTTCTATAGAATAAATAACTTGCAGTATTATCATGTAAAATGAATCTATATATATATATATATATATATATATATATATATATATATAGATATATTGTCTTGGTTACTTAAGTAACTTCTAATTCCCTAATGCTAAATCATTCTTCTATCCTCTCACTCAAATCACTTTAACCTCTGACCCTTTAAAGTATAATCATTTCAAAGTATACAGTTGCATGGCCGAATGGTTAGAACATCTACTTTCTGACCATGAGTTTGAGGTCCATTTCTCACCATGGTTGATTTGTCAGGAAGTTAACTTCTTGATGTTATCAGCCCAGTGATGCAATCCCAACATGCAACACCATTGGAAACTTCTTGAAAAATCATAACATAGGTAAACCCAAGTCTTATGAGTGAAATTGGTTAGACAGAACTATTCTGAAGCTATTATGGTTGATGGTTATGCTAGTCATTATGTCACAAGTCATTATGATTGAGGGTTTGAATGTATTGTCCTTGTTCAAATCATGCCAGATTATACGCTGTCTCCCAGAAACTCAGCATAGTTGCAGCATAGTGCTTCTCAGAAATTAGTAGGTGGCCATTATTTTGAGGGGCTACAGATATGAACTTAAATGAATTATTCAAACCTGACAGCAGTTAATTTTATATGCTTATTTAAACCGGTCTTATCATCTCTATTGTTATAGTCATAAAACTTTTGCTATTGTAACCTATGACCTCAGATGCTTGCCATATTCAGTGATATTCTCAGAATTAAATCATCATCTCAGAAATTCAAATAAATTAAGTTAATTCTATGTAAACATTTGGTGACACTGAAGACATCTTGCATACCCATGTGCCTATCTGGCTTGTTGAAATATTACTTTTTTATTTTGTTCACTTTTATTCATTTTTGTGTATATATATATATATATATATATATATATATATATATATATATATACACACACACTTTTATGCAAAAATTAAATCCAAACTCAGTCTTCTTTTATGTTCCTACAGGAAATGGTTAATCATAGCTTTCCACAACTTCCTATCTGTAGTTCTTAGCAATGTTTGCTTTTTTATCAACCGACCCACTCCCCATTCTTCAATCCATTCTCATAAGCTCATCAGGTAGTTTGCCTGCTGCCTCCTCCTGTTCCTTTTGACTTCGATATCTCCTGTGAGTTACAAATTTTTCATGCATTTCTTCCTCATTGTGTGTTCGATAAATTTTGAACATTTCTTTCTGATTCTAAGTATAAGTCCATTTTGTTACCATTTTCCTTATGACTTCCTCATTGCTCATATGTTCTATCCATGGTATTCTTAGCATTTGTCAGTAGAACCACATCTTTATTGCATTCACTTCCTTATATGTGGATTGATATATAATACCAGTTTAGCACTATTTTCTTTGTTTCTAATGAAATTTTCCTGTTTCTAATACTTTGCTTAGTTTTTAGAAGGCACTTTTGCTATTCCAATGCAGTATGATTGTTCTTGGGATTGATAGTGAAGTAGTTTTCCATTGCCTTTTTAATACCTATCTGACTCAATACCTAAATGGAATATAACAGTCATTATCAAAATCAACATTTTTTAAAATATGTATTTGAACTCTAATTGAATTTCTTGATTACTTCAACTTAAATATGTACATCTAGATGATTTAAGACTTTGTTAGCCTTTTTAAAATTTGATGTTTGAAGTGTATACTGTTTTGAAATATGATTTCTTTCTAGTTATTTTCAAAAGACCAGGCACATATGTATGCAAAATTTAATCAATTTAAAATTTATCACATCAAATAAGAGATGAATCTTTTATTGTGACCGTGAAACTATTTTCCTATATTTTCTCTTTATGATCAGTAAAAGATAAAAATAACTCAAAAAAAAAAAATAACTTCATATACAGTGCATCTCCTAAATTCTTTGGTGAAAACTTGATTTTTCATAAAACTTGGGTATGAGGCAACTGCAGCTTCTGAAAAATACTAGTAGGCCAACTGTAGTCAAATATTGCAGTACTGGACATCATCCTGGATATATTTTATAGCAAATAAATGTTCTTCATTCCTTTTTGTACAAAGCTACCAAAAAATTGTGAGAAAAGTCACTTATTATAAAATATCTGATACAAAGATTTAGATACCATACTTTTATTTTTGTTCATGCTTAGGCTACAGGAAGCAGACTAAAGAATCTTATCTGCACTATTAAGGTTACCCAAACATACCATGAGAATGTAAGTCTACTAGGTAGACCAAAAATGGTTACCAAAAATGCATGAATTTTAACCCCTCCAGAAAATTAAGCTGTATATAGTGCAACTGGTCGCTGAAAATGAATGATTTTTAACCTCTTTAAAAAAAAATTACCTGTGTATAATATGACACATTTTTTGTGTAAAAAGCTATTTCTTTTTTTTTTTTTTTCTAAGCATTTCATCCCAAGCAAAGCAGGATGTCACTAGCATGCAAGGGGTTACAGAGTGTGAGCGAGAGTAAATAGGCGTGGTAGAGGAAAGGATGAAGAGAAGGACAGAGAATAGATCAAGGCATCTGGAGATGTCGACTGACATTACATTTGAATAGTTGGAGATTATAGCTATCAGAGAAACAAGTAATTGGAAGGGGATTCCACAGATAGGAGGTGCGAGACATGAAGATATTGGAGTAGAAGAGATGATTGCATTTAACTGTTTCGACAGTGAAATGGTGGGATCGAGATGCCAGCCTAGTTGCCCATTTAAATTCATGCAGTCTGGGAACTAGTAAAAGTAGCTCATTGGAGCAGTTACTGTGAAAGTATTTGTAGAAAAGACAGAGGGCGGTGACGACACGTCTGTGAGAGAGTGACTGTAGACGAGATGCCAGATAATAAAAACTTGAGTATTTATGGTATATATTAGTTGTATCGGTCATTTTAATATTTATTCATATAAACCAGTAAAAATAAATTCTTGATCTGAAAAAGCTTAGATGGAAGCACCTCAAAAGCTGACCAGGTAGCATTGGTTAAACATCATCGCCAAGAAACTAAACCATATCAAAATGTCACATTACCAAACTAGCAATAAACAGGGTCCAGTGTGGAAGGATCTATTGACATATAGTCACTATATTGGAACCCCAGCAGACAACTGATGGGTAAAGGTAAAAGAAGATGATTTCATACAGAAAATACACAGTATACATTGATCAAATTGCTTTACTGCAAATTGAAATTTATAAAATCTTTTTGTTAAAAGATGTTTTGGAAATTAAACTTCTGAAGTTTACTATTATGATGCTTTCAAATATTGATTGGAGTTTCCTTACAATCTTTTTGTTTTTAGGTAGTTTATAAAGTTAATGGCTTGATTATGTCATAATTTTTCTTCTAGTTACATATGTTGCCCATTTTAGTTGTTACTGTTGGATATCTTCAACCGATGGATTTTTTGTTATTTGGTAAAGCTGTTTACTTGCAGATGATAGTTTAGACATTTCTGAATGAGTTTGATAGCCTGTATGACATCGTAAATGATGTTATCAAGATGATATGAATAAATCTCAAAATATTATTAACAGACTAAGCCATATTATTGGAGTTTCTTAGATTAAGCATTATCAATTCTTAATTTTTCATTTGTATTTCTTTTATCTCTTTTCTGTTTCATTTTATCTCAATTTCCATATAATTTTATAAACAATAGTACAAGGGAATGCTGAAAAATTCTTGGTCTGACCAGGATGTGATTCCTCCCCAAATTCTGAGATTTGATCATTTTGGTTAGATTTTGGGAGGTGGGTGAGGCTGAGAATTTTCAGCACTTCCCTTTGTAAGTTACATGGATTAGAAATAAAGAAAAGCTTCTAATGAGAGTTACAATTCACACTGCTTACTTGGACACCATCCTACATCTATGGAGTCAAATCACAAACATTCCATTTGTAAGGAGGAAGTTCCACTCAGCTTTTTACCAAGAACTGCAATTTTGTAGATCGAGACTCTCATGTGTATACTTCCCTTAACACTAAAATTTTAACCTTTTCAAGTCAAGAGTCAATCACTATTTATCTTCCTT